ATCCTGGTTGGTTGTTTCCCGTTGTTCGGCCCTTTGAGAGGCGGGGCGGTGCCTGTATGTGGGAATCGTCATCCAGGATTGTCTTCTCTTTTTTTTTCTTTTTCTTTTTTCTTGGTTGTCACACTGTGGATCGTCGCTTTTTTATGTCTTGTCCTGGGTGGTCTTGTCCCGTTGTTTGGCCTTTGACGGAGCGGGCGGTGCTTGCATGTGGGACTTGTCATCTGGGATCTGTCTTGTTTTCCTCTGTTCTATTTGTTTCATTTGGCTGTTCCCTTCCTCTCTTCTTTGCCTCTTTGCCTTTTGGCTGTGTGCAAGTGGGTCGATATGACACACGGGGGTGGGGGCAGCCGCCGCTCAACCTACAACCACGTGGGCGGCCTTGTACGCAAGAGGTTCTGAACAGGGGGAGTTGTAAGGAAGAAGATTAAAAACGAATTTAAGATTTTTTTGTTTTTTTGGTTTTTTCGCTTAGGCGCTCTGATATCATGTGACAATATATATATATAGGGCAGCCAGCGCTCAACCTGTCATGATATCATGTGACAATATATATATATAGGGCAGCCAGCGCTCAACCTGTCATCCACGTGGCTGGCCTTGTGCGTAAGAGGTTATGAACAGGTGGAGCTTTCCTTACCTCTTCCCCTTCCCCTTTTTTCCTTTTCCTTTTTTCTTTCCCCTTTTGTGCGCTCTGATTCACAATGTGACAATATATAGGAAGAAGAAAAACTGAATTCATTTTTTCCTGTTTTTCTTCCTTTTTTCCTTTCTTTTTTTCGCATTTGCGCTCTGATATTTTTGTGACAAAAAATATATATATATGGTCACAAGAATATCAGAGCGCAAAAGCGAAAAAAAGGAGAAAGAAAGAAAAAGGAAAATATATACGCTAATATATATATGTCTATATACATATGTTCGTATATATATCGTCATATACGCTCATATATATATGTCTATATACATATGTTCGTATATATATGTTTATATACATATGTTCCTATATATATATGTGATGTGAGTCACAAAAAGCCAAGAAAAGAGCGCCGTGTGAACCGTAGGCAGGAAGGGCGAATAGGACAGAAATTAAAAAATCAAGGGGGGATCTGTGACAGACTGTTTGTCAAAGTTTCACAATCGACCTACCATCTCCCCCCTCCCCCCTCCCCGCTTGATCTGCAGTATTTGAGAGGACGCCTACAAAAAAAAGGGGTAAGAGAACTCGTACAAAGACGAGAAAGACGTGGTCGTAATGTGTACAACGCTACGCCCACACTGCGTATTACTTGTGATCTTTAATCTGTGTTTCGACCCCCCTCCCCCCTCCCCCCTCGCCCCTCCCCGCGAACGTATCATACGCTTTATAAGTTTATAGCGTATCTCTGATCTGTACTCTAGCGTGTTTTTTGTTTTGAATTTTAGTATGTATTTTGAAATTTTGAATCATTTTGGCTCTATCAATCCCTTTTTTTTTTTCTTTTTTTTTTGCTTGCTATTATTGCGTGACCAAACTACCGAGCCATGTCTGCGGGTGTGGTCGTTTTTTGTTCTTTTCTCTTTTTAATAAAATCTGAGGACGATTCTATGTTGGCCGCTCCTTTTGAGAAAAAAAAAAAAAAAAAGTAATCGACAGATTTAGAAAGAAAACGGACAAAAAAAAATAAATCAATTTTTAGGAGCAGGAAGATTTTAGAAAGAGGAGAAGAAATCTTTCCCGTTGCCGGTCATCTGATTCACCGATTGCTCCCCTTTTTTTTTTTTTTTTTTTTTGATTCATTCACAGATTGCCCGTCTGACTCACAGATTGTTCCTTGCTGTAGCTGTATATCAAAATCGCCACACGGTGCCGCACACCTTTTTTTTTTTTTTTGTCCCGAGTCAGCCAGTTTGTTTGTTATAGATCTTCTTCAACCAACTGCCTGAGTTGCGTTTTTTTTTTTTTTTTTTTT